TGGGAAGCAAAGTTGAGAAGTATGAGGTGACAAACAAAAGGTTATGTTCGGCAATCATGAAATGGATATGTTATTTTTGACAGTTAAATTGTCTTGTGGGGCTAGAAATATATATCTTGTCTTGCAAAATAAATCTCCAGATACAACTACAGAAACTGCATTTTGGAGACTGAAAACTAATGACCAAACCAGTCAAGCAACAGTAACCAAGAAAAGGAAAAATTCTCTTTCTCCATCCTAAATTCCCAACAAGAAAGAATGACAGTTCTACATAATAAAGAGCAAGAAGGTAAGGTCAAAGATTTTGACTGTCACAAAGCTACTTAGATACTTTCTCCCATTTCATTACTATGAATCTCAAAAATAGTGAGATTCACTGATACAATGGGTGAAAGGAGCCACATTAAGCGAAAGTTCAGCTAAAAGTCATATCAGAAGTGTGGTGGGGGCCTTTCTCACCTTGAGATGGCCCACACTCTCTCTAAATAAATCCACTTCTTACCTATCACTTTGTCTCTCACTGAATTCTTTCTGCGATGAGACATCAAGAACCTGAGCTTCGGAGCTTCCCCAGTGGCACAGTGGTTAGGAATCTGCCTGCCAGTGCAGGGGACACGGGTTCGAGCCCTGGCCCGGGAAGATCCCACATGCCAAGAGAAACTAAGCCCATGCGCCACAACTACTGAGCCTACGCTCTAGAGCCCACGAGCCACAACTACTGAGCCCGTGTGCCACAGCTACTGAAGCCCGCGCGCCTAGAGCCCGTGCTCTGCAACAAGAGAAGCCACCGCAGTGAGAAGCCCGCGCACCACAACGAAGAGTAGCCCCCGCTCGCTGCAACTGGAGAAAGCCCACGCGCAGCAACGAAGACCCAACGCAGCCAAAAGTAATAAACAAATTAAATAAATAAATAAATAAATAAAATAAAACAACAAAAAAAAGAAGTGTGAGGGAGATTCGGATCAAGATGGTGGAGGAGTAGGACGTGGAGCTCACCTTCTCCCACAAATATCAATACACCAAAAATACATCTACGTGTGGAACAGTTCTCACAGAACATCTACTGGGCTCTGGCAGAAGACCTCAGACACCCAAGAGGGCAAGAAAATCTCCACATAACTGGGTAGGACAAAAGAAAAAAGAAAAAAAAGAGACAAGGCAATCTCGACGGGACCTGCGCCGCTGGGAGGGAGCTGTGAAAAAGAAAAGGTTTCCACACCCCGAGAAGTCCCCTCACTGGTGGAGATACCACCCAGGACAGAGGTGGAGATTCGGAACCTCGGAGTAGAGTGCAGCAACTGGTCTGCAGAAAGCAAAGCGGAGAGAGACCTACACAGATGGTTGGTACCACGACCTTGCAGTCCTCAGCTTGAGACGCTCCTCCACTGGGCTGGGTGCTGAGGTTTGGGCTTCGGAGGTCAGACCCAGGGAGAGGACTGGAGTTGGCTACGTGGGGACGACAGCCTGAGGGGGCTGGAGGGTGGTGCACCATAACTGAAGGGAATACGGGAAGAAGCTTGGGCCCGCCAGAAAGGCAAGGGGCCATTGTTGGGGGGGTGCACGAAGAGAGGGGTGGGACCGCCATAGGAGCTTCTTTCTCCGTGCGTGCACTCTCAGGCAGCAGGGCACCACCTACACGAGCTCCGGGGGGCAGACTCGAGGCGCCACCGCCACTGCCATCTCGGACTCCAGAGGCGGACGCAGACCACTGCAGCTGCCAAGGGTCCCGTGACTGGGCACCAACCACTGCCCCCACCCTCCCCGGGAGCACGCGCGGACCACGCACCTGCACATCCCCTATCAAGGGGATAACGACCAGCACACGCAGAGGAAAGAGACAGCAAGAATCCAAACCAAAAACAGCCCTCATGCCAAAAAAATATTAAACCCACACAAACTACACAGGGAGGCACCTGCATATAAGTAGCCCTCCAAGACTACAGGAGATAACTGTTTCTCCTAAATTCAGAGAGTAAGAAAAATATAAGCAAAATGAAGAAGCAGAGGAACCACTCTCAGTTAAAAGACCAAGAAAATTCCCCTGAAGGAACAAACAATGAAACAGACCTTTTCAGTCTAGTAGATACCGAGTTCAAAAAGGAGATAATGAAAATACTGAAGGACTTAAGAAAGGCTATCGACAGAAATGCAGAGTACTGTAAAGAGAAACTAGAAAGAGGAGCCAAGAAAAATGAGAAACTTCATTTGCTGAGACGAAAGCTGAGCTAAAGGCAATGAATAGCAGAATGAATAATGCAGAAGAAAGAATAAGTGACCTCAAAAGTAGAAGAGTGGAAATTACCCAATCAAAACAGCAGACAGAAAGGCAACTGAAAATAATGGAAGCAATATAAGAGACCTATGGGATAATATAAAGTGTGCCAATCTACGCATAATAGGGATTCCAGAAGGAGAAGAAAGAGAAAAGGGGACTGAAAATGTACTTGAAGAAATTATGACTGAAAACTTCCCAAGCCTAAAGAAGGAAGCAGATATCCAGATACAGGAAGCACAGAGGGTCCCAACAAGATGAACCAAACAGACCTACACCAAGACATTTTATTATAATAAAAAGGCAAAAGTTAAAGAGAGGATTTTAAAGGCAGCAAGTGAAAAACAAAGTGTTAGTTACAAGGGAATCCCCATAAGGCTATTGGCTAATTTCTCTACAGAAATGCTGCAGGCCAGAAGGGAGTGGCAAAATATATTCAAGCCTTGAAAGGGAAAAATCTGCAACCTAGAATACGCTACCCAGCAAGATGATCATTTAGAATAGGAGAAGAAATAAAGAATTTCTCAGACACGCAAAAACTAAAAGAATTCAGCAATACTAAACCTACCCTAAAAGAAATACTCCAAGTTGTTCTCTATATAGAAAAGAACATATAGGAAGGAGGAAGTCACAATTGGAAAGTAAATCACTTAAATTAGCCACTATACAGATCAAAACAAAAACAAAAAAACCTATTTGTGAAAGTGATGATAAACACAAGCAAGAGCAAAAGGATAAACATGAAGATGTAATCAAAAGGACATCAAGGACTTCCCTGGTGGCGCAGTGGTTGAGAGTCCGCCTGCCAATGCAGGGGACGCGGGTCCGTGCCCCGGTCCGGGAAGATCCCACATGCCCCGGAGCGGCTGGGCCCGTGAGCCATGGCCGCTGAGCCTGCGCGTCCGGAGCCCGTGCTCCGCAGTGGGAGAGACCACAACAGTGAGAGGCCCGCGTACCGACAGTGGTTGAGAGTCCACCTACCGATGCAGGGGACACAAGTTCGTGCCCCGGTCCGGGAAGATCCCACATGCCGTGGAGCGGATAGGGCCCTGAGCCATGGCCGCTGAGCCTGCGTCCGGAGCCTGTGCTCCGCAACGGGAGAGGCCACAACAGTGAGAGGCCCGCGTACCGCAAAAAGAAAAA